ATAAAATATCTGTTAACATTCTACAGATGCTAGTAATCATTTTACTCGTAAAAATACTACCGATAACTGTCTTGGATTTCATGTCTTTGACTCAGCCTTCTCTTACCTTCCAATTGGAACATACGGCTTCAACAACACACAACTGAACTTTGTTCTGTTTTGTGCCGTCCCCCCCGCCTCAGTTGGGTCGGCGATTAACCAAACTCTCTCATCTCTTCTTCACACGATCTCCTCCATGTCACCCTTGCAATGACGACCCACTCATCGTCTACCATTGGTATCTCACTACAGCAATAGCCTGCATTGTGTGTAATGTTATTCGACGGCCTCCTCAATGTATGCGCAATCCATCTCCATTTTCGCCTACATATCTTTTGACCAGTTGGCTTTTAATTGGTTTGTTCCACTGAAAAGTTTCTTGTTACTAATTCTTTCTGGCCATATGATCTTCAGTATGGAGCTAGCGAAGGCAGTTGTCATTGAAAGTCTGCAATCTGTTTGGAAATGCTGTTCGTGACCGGTAAGTAGTACACGTCTATGATACGTATAGAAGAAGCAACTTCGCATTGGTGTTGAAAAATGCGAATCTTCTTTCTTATGCTGAGTGCGGAAGATTTGCAAACTGGTTTCAGGTTGATGAAGGCGTATCTGACTGTGACATCAGAATCCAGTGTATCCAGTAATACAAGTAACTAATTATGTGGTTTTGGATTTTATCAATCAGCCAATAGCAAATTCTGCCCATCATATTCAACTATTGACATTTATTTACAAACTTGGAGAAGTAGAGATGAAAAAAAGTTATGAAATCAGTAGTCTTACCACTAAACTATTAGGTGTGTTGATACTCTTTTGAAGGGAACTGTGTTCGGATTTTGCGATTACTATAAAGGCTTAGTGTTGTCAGGACATTGTGTTGTAAAATAGGCTTGCAAATATATTTTCAGCATACACACACACACACACACTGTCACGAACATATCCACCGAATACAGTCAATGAATTCTGGAATCATTATGGCGTTAACAAAGACAGAGAACTAGAACTCTCGATTTAATTTACAAGGTATGAGTGTCAGCCTACTTATACCACTAGGCTACCAGAATTTCCATTCATCGAAATGCTTGACCTCTTCTGCATTTCTTATTGTTTTAATCGTGCAATTATGTGAAATGACCGATACATGAACTCGAGAGTATATTTGATAAGTTACCCACTAAACACTGGGCAGTTTTCGAAGAAATTGGAGAAAAATATATAGAACTGGTTCTCACCTCATATGCAGCAACACTACGACAAACTATGTACTTCATATTATTACTAATTCTGAATGAAGACGAAATGTATTTTGGAACTAAATACCCTGAGAATTTCTGTAAAATATGTTCCCATATTGTCTGAAATAAAGCTGTACTATTATTATTATTATTAATGCTGCGTGCTAGCAATGAACATGAATTTTAGTATATGTGTAAAACTTGGGCACTGTGGTAATAAGTTATTCCATATTAGTTTGTTTATTAGATGTATCACGCAGTGAAACATTATTATTATTTATTTATTGTGGTTCATAATCGTATCGATTACAATCACAGAACTTTGAAACTTGGGTTTTATAGTTTTCTAGAGAATAGTTCAGGTATAGCACTACATGCAGTTGTACACAACCATATAATAGGATGGGCTTAGATGACAGTTTTAAAATCTAATGTCACAGGGTGAAGTCACAGATTGATGACAGCGGAAGCTTTGCGATGTGGTTGTGTTCTCCGAGCTAGATATTTAATTTACGAAGCTTTCGTCGCCCTATTAGGCGACATCTTCAGCGCATACTTCAATTTGAAGTTAGCCCTTAGATTTCTCCACGAGTTTATTAATCATCTCTCATGGTTACTGGACCTTGGACATGATTGGTAGTTTTTGTGTGTTTTCATATCTTCTAGACTACTTGGAATTGATTGTTTCTCTGACTTGAACTTTGACCCTTTGTGTATGAGGTTTCCTTCTTATCAGTTGGTAAATTTTGTCTATCTCCATGTGTCTATTGATTGATGATTCACTGGAATACCAGGCGGGCTTCTAAAACTTCTCTAGCATTCTTTTTGTTTCCTCTGTCTTATATTTGGACGCTGTCTCAGTCTAATTGATTTCCATGGTTGTCTGTATGTAGTGGTATGAGGGAGTGGATATCATGTCTTTTGACGGTTAGCTTATGTTCGTGGATACGAAGATGAAGGGGACGTCCATTTTGGCCAGTGTCGTGTTTTTCGCAGTTGTTACAATTTATTTTGTAGATGATGTTGGTTTCATATTCCTTCGCTGTTGAGTCTTTTGGTTGACATAGAATTGAGTGAGTTGACTTTGTTGGTTTGTGTACGACGTCAATTCCTAGAGGTTTGAAGAGTCTTGTGGTGATTTCTGAGATATCCTTTACACATGGTAAGGCGATTTTCTTTGTGCTCTCCTTGGTTGCGGCTTTTGGTTTGATAGGTTGTCTTGGGGGTATGTGTCTTTTAATGAAGTTACGTGGATTCCATTCTCTTAGAAGACGTCCATGAGATGTTTTTCTTCAATTTTTCTTAAGATGAGAGTGCTGCAATGATTCCTGGCCGGCCCTCTTGAATGGTGTTTGTATGCAATTCCTTTTGTGTGTTATTGGATTGTTGCTGTTGTAATTTAGTCTTTGGTCTATGTGAGTTGGTTTTCTATAAACTTTAGTTTCTAATTCCCCTGTGGTTATTCGCTTGGCTAAGACGTCCAAAAATGGGATTTGGTTCTCAGAATCTTCTTCCTTTGTGAATTTGATGTCGTTGAAGATGTTGTTTATTGAGTTGTGAGTTTTATCTAACTCGTTTTGACTCGTATGTGTCGTTGACGTAGCGTATCCAAATCTTGGGTTCAATCTTTGGTAGAATTATGTTTTTGAGCCTTTAAAAATCACTGCTTCTGGAATCAACCCTCATATTGGCGACCCCATGAGTGTTCCTTTGACTTGTTCATATATTTGGCCGTCGAACTGGAAGGACGTTGTTAGGCATAGGTTTATGCATTCCATACAGCTTGTGTGTTGCATTTTTGATTGTTGTGGAAGGCGTTCGTCGTTGCTAAGTAGTTGCTCCATGGTTTATTTTGCTAGTTTTTGTTCGATTGAGGTATATAATGCTGTGACGTCGAAGGATATCATTATTTCTTGTTCATCTATTTGGATACCTCCGATTTTCTCCAGGAATCGGATAGCAGAGTTGATGGAGTGATCACAAGATTCCGTCAGGTGTTTTAGTTTTCTGTATAATTCTTTGGATAAATTTTATCCTGGAGTTCCTTAGAGTGATACAATTTGCAAATTAACTATCCAGCTCAGAGAATACAACCACATCAAAATCATCCACCTGAGCTGCCAATCTTCTCTATCTTATCTGGTGGAAGCTTCGTTTATTGAATCAACCCCAAACCAACACGTGTAATAGGAATGATTCAACACCTGTCCACTCAGATATCTGAAAAATTCTATTACCCCAACGACGACAAATAGGAGGGAACAAAGAAAACTATAAAACTCAAGTTTTGAAGTCGTGTGATTATAATTGATACGATTATGGACAGTATTAAATTGTGTTCTAAACGTCATCCAGTAAATAATACTGTTTCACTGTATGATACTTCTAATAAACAAACTAATATGGAATGAATTTTAACAGTTTTAACAATTGAAATGGAAGTGAAACTGGACACACGCTGAGGAGACTGTTAGGTAACATCGCCAGCAAGACAGGTCCTTGAGTGGGATCTGAATGTGAAATGTCATGCTGATCGTGTGTCTGAGGCGGACACGGAGGAAGGTTTGTGAACAAGAGTTGAAAACTTATGGGTAGTCGTATAGTCAATTAAAGGTAACTAAAGAAAACAGGATTAAATGGAAATATGAATGTGAAGCCCCTTATGTTTCACTCGGAATCCAATGGAAAAATAATGATAATATAATAAAAATTAAATTAAAATGTCTCTCTACTTTATTCCATCTTTTAATAAAATTCGCTGATTTAACATTCACTGACAAATTAAACCTTTCCCAGATAACTGTTAGTGAAACACTTGAAAATTAATCTAATATGTTCACCAATTGCTGACTCAGGATGAAGTTGCATAAAACTCTAGTGGGAAGTCATGACCAGCAGGGTACGCTAAATTGGGTGTAAAGACAAATACTCACCGAAAACTTTTGCCAGAATTGGCTCTAAAAATCATGAATTAAACTTAACAACACCATAAGTCATGACAACATCATAAGTCAGGATACACTATAAGGCTTATAGTTGATTTTAGAAATACACCTGCTTATGAATTATCTAAATATATATAGACATGGTTTTAAATCCTTGAATTGAATTTTTGATTTTCCCGTCGATTGATTGGACCGAAGTGCTCGGTCTCAGGTTGACATGTCGGCTTCTTGTGCAGATGCTTCGACGATGTCTGGGCATTTAGTTTGTATACTAACTAAATGCCCAGACATCGTCGAAGCATCTGCACAAGAAGCCGACATGTCAACCTGAGACCGAGCACTTCGGTCCAATCAATCGACGGGAAAATCAAAAATTCAATTCAATAATTAATATGACCCGTCGCACAAGAGGTGGCTCTCGTGGCCCAAGTGGTCTAGTGGATAACGCTTTGGCGTTTGAAACTATGGGTACTGGGTTCGAGCCTCGGTGGGAACATCATCACTCACTGAGAAATGCAGGTACATCCAGCTGACGAGTCCCAAATAGGACGAAATGCGCATCCTGGATTCCACTGCTAGCCACCATCCACCAATTGTATGGTTTTAAATCCCCTCAAAAACCACTCGAAATCTAGACTAACAAAATCTTATAAAACCAAAACATAGATTAGGCAATTTAAAACTAGATATTGAAGAGAAAATGGTTAGTTTTGACATTGTCAGTTTACATACACGTATAGACTTTACTCCTTTATTCACCAAATCACTGATAACTTACATTTCATGAAATAAAATATGAAATCCTTTGAGTTTTTTTAAAATCAATTGGATAATTTTGAATAATTTCCACTCATCACTTTATACTGAAAATATAGAATAATTCAATCAAATGTTTTCATCATCAATTCCAAGCTGAGTATAATCGTAAATCACTGGAATTATATAATACATAATTTAGATCATTATAAAAACTGATAAGAAATTAATCATATCATATAATGTTAGAAATGAACGATTCCTTCATATTATTATTATTATTATTGGGGTAGTAGAATTTAAAAACTTTTAGAATAAAAGGCTAAAGAGAAAGTTTCATAAATTTGTTTGTCATACATTTTGTCTTCAAAAAATATATGGAAAAAAACTTTCTCCCTCCTCATTTTTACATGTCTGTTTTATGTTTGTCGTTGTTGTTCTTCTCTTTCTTGTTGTTGGCGTTTATATATTTCTACCCATAATTTCTTCCTTAATCCTACCTCTTCAACATATTTAGTCAAATGGACAGTCCTCCAGTGTGTGTGTGTGTGTGTGTGTGTGTGAGGGAGGAGTTAGTGTGTATGATGCATGTCAGTTGTTCTACATACATGAGAGAGGGCGCGCACGAGAGAGAGAGAGAGGGAAACACTGAAATTCATTCAGCATTGATTGTCATTCATTTATTGCTGCAGTTTAGGAATTTATCGATGCATGTACACTCCCTCCCACACACACACGCGCACACACACAACGCATTTACCTATAGAAAACAATGAGTGTTATTGAGGTGAAATGTAAAGCACAGCAAATAGCAATCACAATAGTAGTAGTAGCAGTCATACGTGATAAATTCATATTATTCATCTAGAAAAGTGATTTTCCAACTGTTCACACACACACACACACAAATAAACAAGTCGTTTCTTTTTGTCGTTTTTGCTTTTCCTTCTATACAGAGTGTCACTAATTATGCCCAACAGTGTTTTTCCTTTTAGAAAGAAAGCCTTTTACTGTCTATCATAGAGAAACACTTTTCGAACTGTGAAAGCATCAAGGTTTAAATATGTACAAGGGATAAAAAAGGGAAATGTTAAAGACTATCTATCACAGTATTTTGTAGTATATATATATATATATATATATATATATATATATATATATATATATATATATATATAATAAAACATATAAGAAAAAAAATGAGATTATGCAGTGTTATTGGCAAAGAATATTTCCGTGAATATTACAAAATTTACAAGGATTTTAGTTGGCAGCAGTAATAATAATAATTAATTATCTAAGCATGTTAATTTTTTACTCTAATTTCGTTTATCCATTTTATGGGATAATTTATAAGAAATAGGGTTGAACATCAGTTTAAAACTCTATCCTGTGTGTGTGTGTGTAAGTGTGTGTGAGAGATTTTTGTTCTTCTTTTCTCTTCTTCATCAACAATTAGATAGTAAGCAGTATGCTATTCTAAAACTGGAATAGATTACTGTCTCTCCAAGTTGATAGTTGGCACCACCCCACCCCATCCGTTCCATCTGCTCTCTCACAGATTTCCAACACTTGTATTCCATATCTTCCCCATCCTAATTTTTGATTTCATCGAAAGAAGGCACCACATAGGCTGACTGGCTTCCCGAAGGCTTTCATCAGACTGTGTCGTTTCACTTCCTCGATTCCAGCGAAAAATAAGGTTATTGTTTATAATTTTAGTATTTTTAATATATTTATGCGTTGAAGTTTCTGTAGTAATTTGGCTAAGTTTCGGAGGTGAAGATCCTAGCAACACGCCCCAACCCTCCCTCTTTATCCGGCCTTGCGATCGGCTAGAAAACTAGAGAGCTAGTAATCTAGGCGAAGTCTTCGCTCTATACTGAAGATCAGATGGCCGGGCCGGGTCGGAAAGAATCACCAACAAGAAACTATGGCTGGGAACAAACAAAACAAGAACAAACCAATCACCAGCCAATAAATATGCAGGAGAAAGTGAAGATGGATGGATTGGACACTCACTCGCTGAGGAGGCCACCGCTGGGTGACATCGCGCGCGCGTCAGGCCATTTCTCGAGTGGAACCAGGCCGAAAGGGAAGCGGCTAGTTGGTTGTCAGTGTAAGGGTGACATGGAGTAGATCGTGTGAAGAGGAGTTGAAACAGTATGGACTAAAATGGATGGATGCAGGTGAAAAGTACAGCAGAAGACAGCAGTGGCAAGTGGAGACGTGCAATTGAAGCCCTGTGTTCCACTAGGAACTTAAGGGAACAATAATAATACAATAATAATTCTAGAACTGGACACATTAGTTATTTCCTAATCTAGAAATTACAGTATTTGATCATCACTATTATGATTCCCCTAGGTTCTGAGTGAAACAAGTGGTTTCAGCATCACACATCCAACTCTTTTATTCGTATACGGTTTCCACTCGATGTTCTGTCGCGTTAAGTTATTCAACGTTTCTTTCAGCGTGCGTCAAATCCCTCTCCATTTTTTCGGTATATTTCTTCTAGGCAGTAGGTTCTTATGTGGATCTTCGCCTGCCAGAGTTACGCCTTGCTAATTCTTTCCAGCCTGTTAGCTGATCTCCATCCAGTATGGAGTCATAGAGAGGGAGCTGTTGATAAACATTTGAAGCCTACTGAAAGTACTTTTTTGTGACGCTCAGTGGAAGTTTCTGACCCATATAAAAGAACTGACTCAGCATTAGTGCTGCTTTGAGTGCAGGCGATTACTATACTGATTCCAGACTAATGAATGTCTGCCTTGCCCTTTCGATCCTGATGCTGACATGCTCACCCACGATGTCTCCTGTAATTGAAACATTTTTGCCTCGTTAAGTAAAAGAAGTGACTTTATTTGGATTTCTCGCATTGATAGTGATTGGTACTTTCTACTGCTATTGTTCTGTGTGTCTTAAGCCCTTCTGTCTTCTCTATGTTTGCTTAAAGTCCTCTCTTGGCTGTTTCTTTTGAAAAGTTTGTCGGTTTCGTCTGTAGGTCCTCGAGTTAGCATGACATTAGACAAGAATCATCCTCAAAGTCCAAATCTCCTAGAAACTATCTGTTAGTCTAACATTTACCCTTCTTCCTGCTTCTCACAGTCTTTTAATGATCCAGTGAGACATGACCATTGAGAGTGGAAGACATGAAAAGATTAGCTGTCTGCGATCATAGGTGCCCACGCTCTATCTCCCGTGTGATGTGGTATAATAAGGTGAGCAATATTGAAGTTAAGCGTCGAGTTTTAGGTAAGGAGGGGAAATCAATTGACGAGGATGTGAAGCTACATCGACTGAGGTGGTTAGGACACGTGTTACGCATACCTAGTCATCGACTTCCTCGATGGGCAATGTTAGCTGACACACGGCCAGGTTGGAAAACAGCTAGCGGAGGTCAAACCAAATTATGGCTTCATCAGTCAATGAAATCCACAACAGTTAGTTTAAGCCAGCCAACCATGTAAGAAGGTGTAGGCTTCCTGGCTGGGATGCTCGTGACGGTAAGAATCAATGATTGGAAACAATTGGTGATATGGCTCAAATTCCTTCTCAGTGGCAGGTGCAGATGCATTCACTCCTTGTGACTTATGATTTCCAATGAAACTATATTGTTCTTCACTATTACTATTCCTTTATCTCACACCTCTGTTTACTGTCTCTATTATGCATTTCTTCTACTTTCTTCTTTTGTTTTGTGTGCTTCATAGAGCGTGGCGACTTGAACTGTTGCACATCTGTGCAAAGCTCTATTTCGAAAAAAGACAGGCCAGCACAACTGAGAATGCCATCGATGAAAGTAGGTAGTCTCGTCCAGCCATTTTCTTCACTTCAAAGGCTTCGTTCAGGCTTTCGTTTTGAAAAACCTACAGAATTACTGTTTAATGTTAGACCAATATAAAATTTCATATCAATTTACATATAGATTGTTAACTTACATAGGAGAATTTCCACCTTCCACATGATGAGAAGCAGTAAGTTTGTTCGATTATTATGAATATGAAGCTACAAGGACTAGTTATCCTCGATTTACTCTATCTAACTATCCATTGCAACAAACTCCCAACTTATTATTCCTGTCAATAAAATCCTTAGATGGTAGATAAATTCACTTAACTGATTATTGTCTTGTATTTATGCAACAGCTATTTTACCATCATACTCAATGAAGTTGTTTTAACAGTAAGAAGAAGACTCTAGGATATCTGGACTCCTGGGATATTGGATTTACAATGTTACACAAACTCTAAGACTTACAGGCGAAAATCAACAGACTGGCAGAAGAAGTGAGCAACCATTACAGGAATTCGACTGAACATAGAGATGGTGGGATAGCTACGCGCGCGCTTTTCGACTATTACGCTACATTTTGGTCATAAATAAAATCTCTTATTACTCTAAAATTTTATGCAAAGAGTTTGCGGAAATTATCACAATTATTAACCTTTCGAACACTGAATCCAAAAAATACAATCTTATTGACAGATAATACACATAACCCACTGTTTGGATTTGTGGAATTTTTAAACATAAACACATCTATAATTGTATATATTGTTGGATTTATATGTTCAAGTTGCTCCAAGTCAGTGAGTTTATGGTTAAGATATCATTTTAGTTAAATGTACTGAACTATATTGCATGTTGTCTTATTGTATAGTTGTCGTCGCTTTTTGCCCTTTTTTCTGTGAACTGTTTCCTTTGTTGATGTTGTTCTCATTGTTTGTCCGTTATTTTCTGATTTTGAGGGGAGCAACCCAAAAAGTTGCTTCTCTCTAAACTTTTACTTAATGTAATCATTCTTTTCTCAGGCGTGAGGCTAGCAACCCCACCCTGTAAACAAAAATTGCTAAAGAAACTTCAGTATGTTGAACCTCCTTGCACCAAAAGAAAAAGTCTGTGTAGGAACATGGAACGTCCGAACTATGTACGAGACTGGGAAAGCTGCCCAGATCGCCAACGAGATGAAAAGATACGGAATACAAGTGCTGGGAATATGTGAGAGCAGATGGAATGGGAGTGGACTCACCAAATTGTCAACAGGTGAGTCAGTGATCTACTCCGGTCACCCAGAAGATAACCACACGCACACCGAGGGCGTGGCTATCATGATGTCACCAACGGCAACGAAAGCCCTGATACAATGGGAGGCGATTTCGTCCAGGATAATGACCGCCAGGTTCAACTCCAAAGGAAGGAAAGTGTCAATCATACAATGTTATGCACCCACAAACAACGCAGACCTCGAGAAGAAAGAAGAATTCTACAGGCAACTACAGGCAACAATGGACAATACTCCAGCTGGCGACATGAAAATACTAATGGGAGACATGAACGCCAAACTGGGACCAGACAATACGGGAAGGGAACTCATCATGGGTAGAGAAGCTCTAGGAGAAATGAATGAAAACGGAGAACTCTTCGCCGACTTCTGCGCCTTCAACGAACTGGTGATTGGTGGCAGTGTATACAAGCACAAAGATATCCACAAGGCTACATGGGTGTCACCAGACGGGCAAACCAAAAACCAAATCGACTTCATCTCAATCTCAAGGAAGTG